GTGGTTATGGGTGAATCAGGAACTAGTTGGGAGTGGTCATTACCGTGCTAATGCTTTCGCCGATACTGTCCCTAAGCTCTTCCCTCACAATCAAGAAGTCGCTGGTTACCTGAAAAGTGTGCAGGTAACCGCTGAAGATTACTCCGAAGCGCTTCTGTCGGGGGTAGGGATGAGCCCCTCCTGGAGGTGGCGTGGCAAGATGGCGGTGTTCTACCCCATCATTGATGGTGAGTGCCGCATTCGTCCTGTTTCTCTCTTTACTTTACTTTTTTGGTGTTTCTGTTAACCGCCTCCATGTGACATACATTTCATTCTACTCTTCTTTAGGTGTTGAGTCTTCCTTATCCATGGATGAGGTGTTGCATAAACGCCATCGAGGGAAACTGGAGTTTCGTGAGGTGGATCTGTTTGAGCGTCTTCCTCCTGATGGGTTTTGGTCATAAGACATCATATGTGCTCATACAAACCCTAAAGCTTGGATCTAGGTTTCTCTATTGTACATGCAAGTTATCCAAGACTATAAACCCTAATTCTAGCATACAAGTAATCATATTAACATAAGAATAGGTTTATAATGTTACCTTGATTGTTATGTAGCAATAACAATCCCAAATCTCCTTGTATTGACTTTGGAAGGCTTAGAGTCACAAGTGTCACTCCTTTAATGGCTTACAAACACCAAGAGCAAATGGAGAAGGTATAAAGAGAGAGGAGAGGTATAAGAATTCGTCTCTAGGACCTCTTGGGAAGGGATACACGAATTCATGAGCCTTAGGGGGTTTATATAGGTGTAAAGATTAGGGTTTTAGTCCCTATCCTTATCTAGTTGCTTGCCCACCAAGTAACCATAAGATAAGTCTTAGAAACCCTTATCCTAGTCGAATTCTAAGGCCTTATCACCTTATATTCGTCCAACCCATTAATAAGATAATCCTTACCTTATTTTGTAACTATCACGTAATTACAATTCAACCCCTCTAGTTTAATTAATTACACTTGATCACAAAATTAATTCCTAATTAATTATTGACCAATATTAATTAAACAAATATGATTTCTCCTTTAATATATTATTCTTATAACATATTAATAAATCATAATAACCTCTCTCTCTATTTATTTCTCCAATCAAGTTGCTTTGGTGAAGGCAACCCAAAAGGACCATGCACCATCGGGTCAAGTACATACCAAAATAGTTATGGACTTAGACACTAATCCAAACCTAAACTTTTATGGATTTATTAAACTTCTTTTAATTATACACCTTAATTAATTAATAAAACCATAAGTGTGTGAATTGAACTTTTCAAAACATTACTAGAGTTTTAGAATTTAACATTCCTAATTAAACTTTTAATCAACTTTTAAATTCCAAAACTTGAGGGCAAGTTTTGAAACATTTCAAAACATTAGGGTTTAGAATTTAAATATACATCACAATTAAACTATTTAATTAAAATTTAAATTCCAAAACTTGAGGGCAAGTTTTGAAACATTTTTCAAAACATTAGGGTTTCAACTATTTAAATTTCAAAACAACAAAACTTTTGGGTTCAAATTTAAACTATAAAACCTAAAGGGCAAAATATGAAACTTTTCATAACAACAAGGATCAAATAACATATAATCCAAATTAACATTTAATCACATAATTATCCATATTTGATTTATTTAATGATTTCTTGCAAAACAATTTATCAATTTACTCAAAATAATTAATCAATTATCACATAAGGAAACAATTATCTTATTAATTGATAAATATTTTCAATTAGATCAAAATTATAGTCAAATATATCATATAATCGGATTAATATTGATCTAACATGATAAGCTAACTATCCATAAGCAAAAACAGCAAGAAAACCCGAGATACCCTCCATCTAACGAGTTGACTCGCCGAGTCAGGCTTGGACTCGTCGAGTCTACATGGACTCGGCGAGTCCAGCCTCCAAAACACCAAAAAAATGAATTTTTTGAACATGTAATGCATCAATACAATTGAAACCACGCTAGGCTCTGATACCACTGATGTGTTTTGGTCATAAGACATCCTATGTGCTCATACAAACCCTAAAGCTTGGATCTAGGTTTCTCTATTGTACATGCAAGTTATCCAAGACTATAAACCCTAATTCTAGCATACAAGTAATCATATTAACATAAGAATAGGTTTATAATGTTACCTTGATTGTTATGTAGCAATAACAATCCCAAATCTCCTTGTATTGACTTTGGAAGGCTTAGAGTCACAAGTGTCACTCCTTTAATGGCTTACAAACACCAAGAGCAAATGGAGAAGGTATAAAGAGAGAGGAGAGGTATAAGAATTCGTCTCTAGGACCTCTTGGGAAGGGATACACGAATTCATGAGCCTTAGGGGGTTTATATAGGTGTAAAGATTAGGGTTTTAGTCCCTATCCTTATCTAGTTGCTTGCCCACCAAGTAACCATAAGATAAGTCTTAGAAACCCTTATCCTAGTCGAATTCTAAGGCCTTATCACCTTAGATTCGTCCAACCCATTAATAAGATAATCCTTACCTTATTTTGTAACTATCACATAATTACAATTCAGCCCCTCTAGTTTAATTAATTACACTTGATCACAAAATTAATTTCTAATTAATTATTGACCAATATTAATTAAACAAATATGATTTCTCCTTTAATATATTATTCTTATAACATATTAATAAATCATAATAACCTCTCTCTCTATTTATTTCTCCAATCAAGTTGCTTTGGTGAAGGCAACCCAAAAGGACCATGCACCATCGGGTCAAGTACATACCAAAATAGTTATGGACTTAGACACTAATCCAAACCTAAACTTTTATGGATTTATTAAACTTCTTTTAATTATACACCTTAATTAATTAATAAAACCATAAGTGTGTGAACTGAACTTTTCAAAACATTACTAGAGTTTTAGAATTTAACATTCCTAATTAAACTTTTAATCAACTTTTAAATTCCAAAACTTGAGGGCAAGTTTTGAAACATTTCAAAACATTAGGGTTTAGAATTTAAATATACATCACAATTAAACTATTTAATTAAAATTTAAATTCCAAAACTTGAGGGCAAGTTTTGAAACCTTTTTCAAAACATTAGGGTTTCAACTATTTAAATTTCAAAACAACAAAACTTTTGGGTTCAAATTTAAACTATAAAACCTAAAGGGCAAAATATGAAACTTTTCATAACAACAAGGATCAAATAACATATAATCCAAATTAACATTTAATCACATAATTATCCATATTTGATTTATTTAATGATTTCTTGCAAAACAATTTATCAATTTACTCAAAATAATTAATCAATTATCACATAAGGAAACAATTATCTTATTAATTGATAAATATTTTCAATTAGATCAAAATTATAGTCAAATATATCATATAATCGGATTAATATTGATCTAACATGATAAGCTAACTATCCATAAGCAAAAACAGCAAGAAAACCCGAGATACCCTCCATCTGACGAGTTGACTCGCCGAGTCAGGCTTGGACTCGTCGAGTCTACATGGACTCGGCGAGTCCAGCCTCCAAAACACCAAAAAAACGAATTTTTTGAACATGTAATGCATCAATACAATTGAAACCAAGCTAGGCTCTGATACCACTGATGGGTTTTGGTCATAAGACATCCGATGTGCTCATACAAACCCTAAAGCTTGGATCTAGGTTTCTCTATTGTACATGCAAGTTATCCAAGACTATAAACCCTAATTCTAGCATACAAGTAATCATATTAACATAAGAATAGGTTTATAATGTTACCTTGATTGTTATGTAGCAATAACAATCCCAAATCTCCTTGTATTGACTTTGGAAGGCTTAGAGTCACATGTGTCACTCCTTTAATGGCTTACAAACACCAAGAGCAAATGGAGAAGGTATAAAGAGAGAGGAGAGGTATAAGAATTCGTCTCTAGGACCTCTTGGGAAGGGATACACGAATTCATGAGCCTTAGGGGGTTTATATAGGTGTAAAGATTAGGGTTTTAGTCCCTATCCTTATCTAGTTGCTTGCCCACCAAGTAACCATAAGATAAGTCTTAGAAACCCTTATCCTAGTCGAATTCTAAGGCCTTATCACCTTAGATTCGTCCAACCCATTAATAAGATAATCCTTACCTTATTTTGTAACTATCACGTAATTACAATTCAGCCCCTCTAGTTTAATTAATTACACTTGATCACAAAATTAATTCCTAATTAATTATTGACCAATATTAATTAAACAAATATGATTTCTCCTTTAATATATTATTCTTATAACATATTAATAAATCATAATAACCTCTCTCTCTATTTATTTCTCCAATCAAGTTGCTTTGGTGAAGGCAACCCAAAAGGACCATGCACCATCGGGTCAAGTACATACCAAAATAGTTATGGACTTAGACACTAATCCAAACCTAAACTTTTATGGATTTATTAAACTTCTTTTAATTATACACCTTAATTAATTAATAAAACCATAAGTGTGTGAATTGAACTTTTCAAAACATTACTAGAGTTTTAGAATTTAACATTCCTAATTAAACTTTTAATCAACTTTTAAATTCCAAAACTTGAGGGCAAGTTTTGAAACATTTCAAAACATTAGGGTTTAGAATTTAAATATACATCACAATTAAACTATTTAATTAAAATTTAAATTCCAAAACTTGAGGGCAAGTTTTGAAAACATTTTTCAAAACATTAGGGTTTCAACTATTTAAATTTCAAAACAACAAAACTTTTGGGTTCAAATTTAAACTATAAAACCTAAAGGGCAAAATATGAAACTTTTCATAACAACAAGGATCAAATAACATATAATCCAAATTAACATTTAATCACATAATTATCCATATTTGATTTATTTAATGATTTCTTGCAAAACAATTTATCAATTTACTCAAAATAATTAATCAATTATCACATAAGGAAACAATTATCTTATTAATTGATAAATATTTTCAATTAGATCAAAATTATAGTCAAATATATCATATAATCGGATTAATATTGATCTAACATGATAAGCTAACTATCCATAAGCAAAAACAGCAAGAAAACCCGAGATACCCTCCATCTAACGAGTTGACTCGCCGAGTCAGGCTTGGACTCGTCGAGTCTACATGGACTCGGCGAGTCCAACCTCCAAAACACCAAAAAAATGAATTTTTTGAACATGTAATGCATCAATACAATTGAAACCACGCTAGGCTCTGATACCACTGAGTGTTTTGGTCATAAGACATCCTATGTGCTCATACAAACCCTAAAGCTTGGATCTAGGTTTCTCTATTGTACATGCAAGTTATCCAAGACTATAAACCCTAATTCTAGCATACAAGTAATCATATTAACATAAGAATAGGTTTATAATGTTACCTTGATTGTTATGTAGCAATAACAATCCCAAATCTCCTTGTATTGACTTTGGAAGGCTTAGAGTCACAAGTGTCACTCCTTTAATGGCTTACAAACACCAAGAGCAAATGGAGAAGGTATAAAGAGAGAGGAGAGGTATAAGAATTCGTCTCTAGGACCTCTTGGGAAGGGATACACGAATTCATGAGCCTTAGGGGGTTTATATAG